GTCTCCTGTTAGCGGCTCTGCTGGCAGCATAAAGTGGGTCAGAACACGCAGCGCACCTCGTCTCCTTTGGGTCACGGGTCACATTTACGTGACGTCGCTTCAAAATTAGAATATCATCACAGAACCACCATTAAATTAGCTGCTTCTGACATTTTAAATGCTATTGCAGTTGTACTATCAGCAAAAATGTGCGCATCAGAACCGCAGCATGCAGGACTTCCTTGTTTTCTTCTGGATCTGTGGCTCAGTCCCGCCCCCGTCCTTTTTTTGTCCGATGGGAGCAATGATCGTCACACTCGTGGCTTTGTTTACAAGTTATAGTTCATTTGCAAAAAAGCACAATGTTAATGCAAACGGCACCAAACGAAAAAAAAAAAAGTCAATTTTTGGTCCGGACCAAACAATTGGACTAAATTTTTTCCTGGTCTGAATACACCCTTCAAGGGCTGCATGCTCATGAGTGCGCATTTGTCAGTCGCACACCTCACTGCCCCATGCCGAGTACTGTCCCAATTTGAAGGCTCCTCATCATGCAGACGAGGAATGCGCCAGACAAAATCTCGAAAACCGAGGATGCATCCATGTATCCTCACCGGTCGAGGATATCCCAGGATTCAAAGCGTGGCCAACAAATTAAAAGAAGAAACCAAGACGGTGGAGTTTTTTATTTTTTAACGAGTCGGCGTAGTTTAGAAATTCATCACGGACTGAAGAATTTGTTTTTAAAAGTAATTTTAGCAACTTTGCTGATGAAAATTTATGCAGCAATAAGATGATAAAAAATGCAACTACAAGTACAGATACTGGAGCTAAACCCAATCATTAATGTTTTCTTTTATTTATTTACGTGCAACGTTTTAACTGTGAAGTTGTTCTTCCAGTGAAAAGACGTGTAAATAAACATCCTAACAAAGTTGCAGTCTGATATGAAACCGATCACTTTGGTAACAGGGTAGCGAGTGGTCACGCAAACTTATATCAAACGAAAGCTAGACCATCTCATGTAGCATGTGGGCTACATGCTCATGAGGACCCTGCTCATGAATTAAAACATAGCCATGGTTCCACCCACGTAACGTGATGACATCATCACATAGGGCGACGTGATGATGTAACTTGTTCAAAGTCAGAACGGCTCTGTGAAACAAACGGCTCCTCAATATCCAGATCCATTCAAGGAGCCATTTATCAAATCTCTAGCTTATGTGTCCATTTAATCAATTTATGCACTAATGTTACAACTTTAAACCCAACCTTTTTACCCTCCTGGAGTAGTCTGAAAATAAATCCTGTGTTTTCAGCATTTTATTTGTTTTTGAGTTTCAGACATGTCATATTTAATCAGCAGCACTCAGTTTGTGCTTTTTAATCTGTGCTATAGAAGCAGTTATTCAGTTGGTTGGATGCTTCCATCTTATGAAGACTATGGTGGTGGAGTTCAATTCAGTTCAGTTTATTTATAAAGCGCCAATTCACAACATACGTCTCAGGGCACTGTACTCAAAAATCAATCTAAAGAAGCCAGTAGACTGTGTTGAATCACTTCATCACATTCTCCCATCCTGAGCACCACATGGTGACAGTGGAGATGAAAAACTCCTTTAACAGGAAAAAACCTCCAGCAGAACCAGGCTTAGGACAGGCGGCCATCTCCCTTGACCGGCTGGGCTTGGGGGACAGGAAAGAGACACAGGACTGGTCCAGGTGTATTTTCCTCTGGGAGAGACAAAGAAAGCATGTTATTGATTGAAATAATTACAATAAACATGTTGAGAAGAGAGACTAAAAAACAGCAGCAGAGTGAGGAAATGTGGTCAGTTTGTGCTCCAGCAGTCTAAGCCTATAGCAGCATAACTAATTTACTATAATAACTAAGCAATAACTCAGGAAACCTCAGTCTAAATATAGGATTTATCAAAAATGAAAGTCTTCAGTCTAATCTTAAAAGTAGACAGTGTGTCAGCTTCACGGACAGAAACTGGAAGTTGATTCTACAAGAGAGGAGCTTCATAACTGAAAGCTCTGCCTCCCATTCAACTTGTAGAAACTCGAGTAACCACAAGTAAACCTGCAGTCTGAGAGTGAAGTGCTCTGTTAGGAAAGTATGGAACAATAAGATGTTTAATATATGATGGAGCTTGGTTGTTGAGATATGTTAGGAGTAATATTTTAAATTCTATTCTAAATTTGACAGGGATTCAGTGGAGAGAAGCTAAAACTGGAGAAATATGATC